GACCTAAATCAGCGCATACAGACACGCTTACCAATAGGAGGGCGGACGTTTTTATGCAGATGGAGGCTGTAAATCCTTTCTTTTCATTGGCAGCTCATAAATATTATTGTCTTCGAAGTAAAACGACTCTGAAATTGAGCATAGTGTGTGCATACACGTTTTATATGCATGATTTAATGACGTATATCCAGCACGGTACGCCGTAACGCTGTAGAATATGAGTGATGAACTCTTATTGCACGGCTGATGTGTGCTGTTTCTTCTCCTTAATCCATCCATTGGATAATATCTTGGGAAACCAAGCAGAAATCTAGAGAAAACCCTTCCTTCTGCTTTCTCTTCTTCCCGTTTCAAGGTTTCCACTCGTTCGTTGGCTTGGGAGGTTGGCAGCTTCTTTCACATCGCCTTACCTTTTATTCACCTACACATGACAACCTGAAGGAACGTCAAGGGATGTTAAGACCGCTTGGGCTGCACTCGTCCAGGTTGTCCTCATATTGCCTCTTCCTCGCTGGAGTGTTTTTAGGCAGCAGGTGCTTCAGTCGATTATATTGATTGGTCAATAGCAGCTTGAGTCTTCCACAATAACAAATCAAAATACCCAGCCAACTTATTTTGGTTCATACTTGGAATTTTCCAGTACTCTGCGTTGATACCACTGCTTTAAGCAGTGGTATCAACGCAGAGTAACTCATCTACATCACATAAATTTCGTATTTTCTTCACCCTCTCCCTTCCTATATACCGAACTCCGGCAATAATCCTAGCGTCGAGTGTTCTTATAACAAATGCTAATCTCAAATAAATCTTGTAGGTCAAGCTTTGTTGTACTTGTCAAAACAGCTTTTACTCCTAAGCTGTTCTTGGATTTTTGAAAACAGATTTGTCTGTCTTGCTGGAGTGCAATAAAGCAAAAACTGAGACTGCGTAGTAAGAAAGACTCGGAGTTTTGCCCTTTCGAACAAGAAAATCAAAAAGCTACCAGTTCATAAGTACCCAGCAAAGTTTTCACTACTCGCATTCGTAGCTTATGTAGATTCGTATATGCTGAACGGCTGATATGTTTTCTTGAATTAAAGGGTATATATAAAATCGGTAGGGAGGAAATTCTGATATTTCACTTTTCCATTACTGGCCAATATGTTAAAGAGCCTCTAAACGATGGAGAAAAGTTCTGAGTTGCAGATAAATCATTTATCTTTTTATTATCTCACGTCGTCTCAGTTCATGTTGGAAGTGAACAAGTTTTCTCTTGCTTTGGAGAGAAAAATGAACTCAAGGAATTTACAGCTCAGCTATCAACGCAGTATGCTTCACTTCTGAGATATCATAGTGCGTTCACATACTTAACACCCCGATAAGAAGAGTTAAATTCATTGGAAACCGAGGAATATAGGCTAATCAATCTTTGATTATAACCGGCTTGCTTATCGGTTAAGACATTTCTCAAGCTTGAAAATTCCGCTACATGTTGTTTCGGATACTGTCATTCAAATAGTTGCAGCTTTATATATTCTTTATGCGAAAAAAGCTCAAAGAATGGCGATGCCCACATTCTTATTAGGTTGGCTCATGTGTCTCGCACCAATCGAAAAATTTGTTTTGATTACGGTAAAAACGACTTTCCAAGTTAGGATACACATATTTTCGAAACCTATAGCAGATGCTCTGTTTTACGGTACAGATTAGAGTTTTCAACTAGAACAAAATGAGATTTGAGCGAAAGACTTGAAATGTTTAATTCTTTCTGCAAAAAAATGAAATACTCTGAGAAGCAAAGATCAAAGAATAAAAAGTTGATTCGAATTCGTGCAAGCTAGGGATACTACAATTTTCCAACTTTTTGGTGCAGGACTTATGGACCAACTTGATACTAGAATATCTTGGCATGACGATGGTGCAGATCTGGAGGTATTGTCTTTGAGGTGTGCTCAAAAAAAGCTACTGCCCTATTACTTCATCTCTCTTCTCTTTAGCAGCGGTTTTGCAGGACAAGGCAGAGGGATGTTTTTAATTAGGGGCTGGGTTCATCCCTTTACGAAAGCATGAATCTTAGCCGCCCATGCACTGGGAATGCTCAAAGAGGCATTAGAACTCAGTCACAAATCAAAATGATAGATCATCGGGAACTAATGCGGGGAAGTCGCGCCATGTGCTCCGTTTGATTTGTGCGTTTCAGGTTCACTTGCCACTTTCTGTAATAGCTCGTGGTACTTCAAAACCAATTTTTCTATTTTTCCTGAAGGACTTCTTTCGTGCTCTTTATAGTTTTTAGCAAATATCTCTTCACGATAATTCTTGTTATTTGTCGGACGATATATGCTCCAACAAAAACGGAAAACAACTGTAATAATTCTATTTAAGAAGTCAAAAAACAGGAGCAAAAAGTGTGGCAGAGAGCGCAGGCATGTTTATAAAGCCTATCCTCAAACTTAAACAAATGGTATTTTTGGCATTTCGCTCCCCTAATAAAGCAAAAGTTTGCAGAGATCTTTTTTTATCTTAGCAATTAAACAAGGCAAATGGCTTATTTTGCAACCAAGCTCTAGTTGAGTGAAAGCGAGCTCTTTCTCGATACTTTCTTCCTCGAAATTTTGTCTTTCGATTTGTAATATCCAAGTGGAGAGGCTTATTCTTTTTTTGCCGTTTATATCATTAAAATTGGTTCTAAAACAACTATATGTAAAACTTCATTGTAAAATGCTTTTACTTAACAGCTTTTCTATGGACATGAACTGCTACGGTTGTATAAAAAGAGATAAAAGTAGCGGCACTTTTGAAAAATTTGCAATAAACATTAAGCGATTTTGAAACTTTGCTGTCACCCGTTATAATGAATCTCTGAAGAATTCAAGAGAAAAAAAACTACGAACACTAGTGCAAATCAACGTTTTCAAAATAAAATCAGACGACTGCAGTTCTTCACGCAAGGCTAGAAAGTAAAAAAAAATTTAGAGTTTGCTCTTTCATTGTAATCTCAAGTGCTAATCCTGTTTACATATGCTTGTAAACAAGGGAAGCAAAATAAGTACTAGAAATGGAACGGTGCACATACTGTGTTTTTCGGGCTTTTCATTGTTCCTAGTCAAATCAGAATCAATTTTGATCTTCGCCCTCTGTCGCGGTATGCAAGCTGAGAGAATGTAGGACATAGATCAGCATAAATCAGACTGAATGGTCTGAGAAGACTCATTAATTGTGAGAAGAAATGGCTCTAATTTTTCGTATTTAACGAGCTACCATTTCGTGATTTTCAAGTGACATTATTTCATCGAAGCAATAGAATCACTCAAACTTACGCAATAAAGAAATAATTGATGCACTTGTAGTGCAGTGGAACCGAGGCTTGCCTTTACTTTCGAACGGGCTATAATGCTGTAGTAATCTTTATGTTTATCTTTGTCTTCTTCAGTAGGCTTGAGGACGATTCGCACCAAAAATTCTAACAAAAATTTTAAAAGTGCCTAGGTGGTGACCGATATAATCCGTACATCAATTTGGTTGTATTATACTTACTGATTGCAGTATTTCGCTACAAATAGCAAGAATTTTTGGAAGAATTTCTAATCGCACATCTCAAAACTAGTCAAAAAGAACATAGAACATGGTAGATCATCCTTAACCACAAGTTAAATAAAAGGTCATAGGACCTTTTAGCATCTGAGAGATACGAATACAGAAATATAAATCAAATTGTTGGTCTTAGCTGTTTATAGCCGCAATTTCACAACAACAATTTTTTACTTCGATGGCTAAAGAAAGCCGCATCATTTTTCCACTGGACTTGATGGGGGAACTATAGACCAAAAATCTTGAAAACATATGTTTTAAGCTAACAGTGCATGTAAGATGAGCCACTAGTTAGTTGAAAAAAATCATTCCAAAATATTATGCTGTAAATCACTAATCTTTCTACTGATAAATTCCGATTCGGACCCGAGTGTACCGTGCATAACAGGATTTAACCGCTGCGTAGCCGAGGTGCAGTGACCGTAACTGGAGCATGACCATGGTAAACTCAGGGGCGCGTAATCGCGGTGATCTGTTCGTCAATAGCAATATCTCATTTGAGGTAAATAGAAACTATGCAAAAAAACCAACTGTCGTGTGTGTGTGATGTTCTACTACGCTTTGGTCTCTTGGTAGCTGCTCTGCGAATCATTGTTATGCCAATATCGACCCGTCATTCTTGCAGCGTTCAGATTTATAAGAGCTGTCCAATGTGTAAACGTTCCTCCAATCTTTTCTCAGTTCATTTGTCTCCATTAGTTTTGCAGCTTGCAATGTGCTGTCAGAATTTCACTAAATCTCCACACTTTCATCACATCGCTCACCTTGCTCCCATTGCACACCTGCACACGCCTTGATCGTGTCTTATAAAAATCCCTTTCTTTGCAAAAAGTGATGTAAACCTGATTAATGCCCAACTTCTCATAGTATTTTCTACCTCTTACATTTGATAATCACATGCAAATCTTTTCCATATGTTTGCAAAACTATTTTCGCATCTTTACATAACTTCTTGTTGACTGGTACATGCTACGTGATTGCAGAATGTTTGAATACGAAATCGCAGAAAGCTTTGAAATGACAAGAGATGTCAAACAAGTCAATCTAACTCATCAAAGTCCGTGTGGCTAGAAACAGATTAGCAGGGGCGTGGTCGTTGCTATTCTCTTGGTAGATCTCATTCCACGCGGAAATTACTTTGTAACTAGATTTTCGTTAACAAATTTTGAATGAACTTCTTGGGCTGCTATGAAATAAAAGATTTGGTAGAAACATCAGTTTTTTGGTTCCTGAAATAAAAGATTTGGTAGAAACATCAGTTTTTTGGTTCCTGAAATAAAAGATTTGGTAGAGACATCAGTTTTTTGGTTCCTGAAATAAAAGATTCTGTAGAAACATCAGTTTTTTGGTTCCTCTTACTTGTATTTTACCGCTTATACTTTGCTATGAGGAGTTTTTGAGACTTGAAGTATAGTTCATGCCAATTTCAGAGACGAGGGAGAGGGAAACGAGGTTTCATCTCCACAAGTGATTGATCTCCCACCCATTTCCACCTATTTACCTGAGGAGCACAATATCGAAAGGCCAGAGTTGCGTTCACTATTGCACAATTCTCAAGCGATGGGAAGTCTGGAAAAGCTCATCAGGTCAGTCCATCAGTTCTCACTCTCACGTGGATTTGCACTAATGAACGGGCGTGAGTCCTGTCTGGATGTGTACTCAAGTCCTGTGCAGATATGGTAGGTGCACCAGCGGATGCACAGCTCCGATTGCGTGCGTCTCCTCCATTTTATTTCCATTTGTCAGGCTCAGCGGCTAGCATTCTCTAGGGGCAGGCTTTAGGCTGCGGTTCTATCTACACTTAATTCCAATAGCTAACTTCATTTAAACTTCCCTCTCTCGCATTCCAGCTGGAGCACGTGTGCCATTGCCACCTTTACGCACTTCTCGTAAATAGTTTTCGTGGCTCGCTTTTATTCGTTTTTGGATAACACTCCCTTCGAGGATCGTACTACTTGGCAAACTCCTCGCCTTCAACGTCTACGACTCGAAACCTTTGCCTTTATGCCTTATTACTGTTCCCTATAGCTATTAGGATGTCTCATAAGTCTTTTCATTTTGAGTTTTCGCTGTACAAAATCACACACTTCTTATTCTAAATAGACATCTGGAAACCATTCGTTAGAGCAAAACAAGCTCTATAAGATGGCGTTTATGTTGTTGCACTAGCCATGACCCACCTCAAGTTCAAAACCAAGATCTAAAAAGTTAGGGATGCCCATAAACTGAAATTTTTTTATATCTTCGTTCAAAAAAGTTCCCAGGTCTCTTACTCGGGCACGCATATGCACTCAACATCTGAACTCATATGTCCGTTGCTGTATTTATTATTAGCTAGAAATCAAGAGAACGAAAATTTTCATGCTTTCACCAAAGTGATGCCCTGCTTTTCCTTACACTAACAGTTGTATACTACAAGCCTTCAGAAGTATAGTTGTAGATTCTTAGCTTTCTATAAGCTCTGGTTCCCGAGAAATGTTGATTAAGCGTGAAAAACCCGAGTGAGGATGGTTAACTTCGATATTTTTCGGGAAACAGAGCTTGTAGAGCTAGAAATTTACGCTTGTAAATTTAGGCGCTTGTAGTATACAACCGTTAGTGTAAGAGCAGCAATCACTTTGGTGAGAACATAAAAAATTTTAGTTTTTTTATTTCCGGCTAATAAAAAAATACAGCAACGGCACATATGAGTGTCTGATGTGGAGCGTATATGCGGGTGAGAGACCCGTAGGATTTTTTGAACAAAGATATAAAAAAATTTCAGTTTTTTGGGCATCCGAAATTTTTTAGATTTTAGTTTCGAAGTTGAGGAGGGTCAAAGCTGTTGCATAAGGATAAACACCACCTTATAGAGCTTGCTTTGCTTTATCGAATGGTTTCTCAATTTCTGTTCAGAATCAAAAGTGTATGACTTGTCACAGCGAGGACTCAAAAATGAAAAGACTTATGGGACAACTTATCAAAAACTCGAAAGTAAACGGCGCAGCAAAAAACTCATCGCAACTTCTAGCGCTTATTCTGACCAGGTAAACCACAAAGCCTCAGCTTTCTCGTCTTGAAGCCGTACTAGTCTTAAAGCAATATAAAATGCACGAAACTAAGCAATTCGCCGTCGACGACATGTTGTTTCACTTGTCATGTCCTAATCAGACTCAATCCTCGTGGGGAAAAGTCTCTTTGCGGCATATCTGTGGGAGATTTTTTTTTCTTGCGAGACTCTCAGTGTGTGCATTCACCTCAGCTTCATGTTATTGTTGTCAAACTGCATGTGTCTACGAGATGATCCCATGACACTCGCTTTGTGTTCCGCCGTACTCATCTCTCATCATAGCCGCACACAATATTTGGTTCAAAGCGCCTTTTACGCATGCTTGCATTTTGAAGTTAGTAGCTTGAAATTTACTGGATTTTCGAGTATCTCATGTGCAAATCTTCATCGACTCATTCTCTGCAGTATAAAAATCCAGAGGGAAATTGAAGAGCTGTTACTTTTTAGAGCAGAATCCCTTATGCATGAACGCTCCCTGGACACATCTTTCCTTCAAATTCTGCGCATGTCTTCAGCAAAACTTCAGCGACGTCTTGCCTATCGCATATGACAGCCCGTCCTTGCACAGCTACAGAAGGCTGGTAGCAGTTCCAGCAAAGCCAACAGATTCGATCGGAGCCGGCTATTCCCGGAAGGCTTCTTTCAGCGGCAGATTATTGCTTTGCAATGATTCATTTCCTTGCAAGAAAATTCACTGGCCCTGTTTTACTATTCTTGCATACAGTTTAGTGCGCTTCCCCTAGCCGCAGTCATCCTTCGGGAGGGGCTCGAAAACGCCATGGAGAGAACAATAAAGAATAAATTTCAAGAGGATGATGGAAGAGTTGGGAAGAAGCGATATGCAGGTCTCTGGGGAGCAGCGCTTTGACGAGGTCGGTGTAAAACGAGAGTTTGTGAATATTCAATGTCAGAGCGGTGAGGACTGTGAGAAGACGTGCATTCGCGAGCGCCAAATGTAGCCCCAGCTGCAAATTGCACAAAATGGACGTTTCGTGGGTATTTTGAGAGCGTGAGAGTGACTTAATTCAATTTGTGGCGCCGGGATTAGGAACATCAATCAAAGCAGATCCGGCTCGTCATTGTAACATTCTCACCGCATGTATTCGCATCCCACAACTCTTCAGAATCCCAACTTAGCCAAGTCGCTCGAAGGGCTTAAGATTTCCTAAAATTCTTCTTCCTTGCCCATGTTTTTGTAACTCCATTTCATAGCTTGTTTGTGGGTTATGGAACGGAAAAGCAATGACTCCAGTTATGTACCCTCATGAAGATGTCGATTGAGCAGTTTTTCGCAAATGCTCGCTGTTCAGTGCACGAATCCGATGTTCGAGATGCGGAATGTTTCTCCGGAGATGTTCTGATTAATGGGTTACATTAAAACCTGGTAGAATGCAACGTCCCAGTGTAACGAGACGTTTTCCGTCTCAGTTTTACATATTCTCTTGTCATGAAGAAATCTGCTCAATCTTCATCCAAGCTTGTTGTTCGTGCTTGCTATTGATCAGCTTTGAGTCATCTTGATCGGCTCGCGTGGAGCATTTGGCCGTACAAACCTTCTGTTCCTTCTGAATTACTTGCTTCTTCGTTATCGTTTTCGTGGCAACAAATCATTAATTAAGTGTCTTTGTTTCCGCCTGCTTTGTACTTTTCAGGGTGGCAAAAGAAATTTATATGCTCATGATCTTTGAAATTACCTCTAAAATGAAGGGAAGAAAATTACAAAAACCTTTGCAAACTTCTTTGTAGGTACATGCACTTAACTTGGCTTATTCGCATGCATTTTCTTGACCAAGAAAACAATTTTTGCAAATGTAATTGATATCAGTTAATGTTTTGGTGTTGTAATTGAATACCTAGCCACCCTCTTTTAAGAGCCTTCTGCTACCTGTTTCTGTGTTTGGTAGACAAGTCATAAATGTCCCCTTGTGTCTTTACAATCACCGCTTTGTGACTCATTTTTGCAAACACCTTTATTCTTATGAAGTGTCCTTTGCTGCGGAAATTGCAATAGCGCGGTAGAATTCGCATTCAATTACGGCATAAGCTGGCGATCCTCTAAATCTCTATTTCTTCAGCCGAGATTATACCGCGATAGTAGGAATATCCAAACTAATGCATTCAATATATACCTCGGCCATGCTGCCTCCTCCTCTCCCTGACAAGTGGGAATAGTCAAATGGCCTAGTCATATGCTGTAATAAGCCATCAAGCGAAATGAGCCCACACGTCAGCTTTGAAGCGTTTTCGCATCCTTTTCAACGTTCGTTCATTGAATATTGTCAAGCTAGTCAACATGTGCTTCTTTTAATCGAGGAGGTTCGACTGAAATTGAGCTTGATGTTTTGCTTCCGTTAATTACGACTTTTCGAACGATCAATAACAAGCAGTTTAGTGAACTTCTTTCACACGCCACTTCTGGTTTTTTATTGACTCGTTTTCACGTTTTTCTCGGCTTGGGCAAGGGGATCGCTGTAATGAAAACACTACGTCAGCATTTGTTCACTTCGGATAAAATGTCGGTGGGATTGGGTTCGGCTTCTTTCATCCGACAGCAGAGAGGGAGAGTATGTAGTTCCGGACAAGACAAATGCCACAAAATCTATGCCGACTCCAAAAATCACCGCCTGCGTGAGCTTCGACGAGTGCGAGAGCGAGTTCAATGTCTGTGCAATAAAATCTCGCGGTCTGTGACCGGCTCTGACCGAATCTCCAGCATTTTCATTGCACTTTTGAGTTTTTGCTTTTACAATTCGCGGCAAATCACTTCCGCAGGTGTCGGATCGTAGGGGTCCCACGCGTTGTTCGTGAATTGCAGGATGTAGTAGAAATTGCTGTACTCTCATTACTAGCCAGCAGCAGTGCTAGTTGGCTACAACCAGCGTCAAGACTCTTGAGATTTTGATCGGATTACTTGCTTGGAAACCCCCTCTTGGCACATGTACCTCATTTTTTCCATTCTACCACAAAACGAATCTGCCACCCACTCTAGGACATTTTTCTTTTCTGAGATCACCAAAAGCTTCGCCAACAGATCAAAGCAAAATCCATGACTTTTCCTTTCGAGTTTTTCTCCATAAGCAGTTATTTCCTTCTCCCACTATGCAACCGAATTCTACTGGATGGTATGGTATATGGTTATGGTTCTATCATGGTTTGATTTCGTTACTCAAACGCTCAGACACACTTGTAGCTGAATCTTCCTTTGTTCTGTCCTAGATCGTATATTTCTCGCTTTGCGCGCCAAATTTGAAATTCTCCGTTTTACGCACTTCTCACAGGCAGCACATATGAGCGTCTACGTGCTCAATTTGGCCGAAGCTGAAGGAAATATGGTAAAAGGGTAGGTTTTTTTTTACATTCCCTATAGAAGCTCGATCATTCTTGGACTTTGCTTAAAACTAATCCTACACGGGACATATGACTGTATTAAAAGTTTATTCCTTTGAAATATGTCTTCCTCCTTTCTTCATTCGTAAATCACTAAATTTGATAATTAATGGATATAGGGATCAAAAACTAATGATTGAACAATATATT